TGGTAACGCAGAATTATAGTAGGTCAGAATCATGATAAAGTTTAAATATAAGTTAACAGGAAAGGTGGTACTGCGAAGGAGAGGCATTTCTGAGAGTGTTCAACTATCTTTTTGCATCTTTCGCTCACCGGAGCCCAGTTCACGATAGGCAATATGAATAGATTTAAAGATCCACCGCTTTCTCTCTGTGATATGAACCAAACACTAGACAACTTTTGTTTTGCATCATGCTAATAGAGACGCAATGGTTCCTAATATACTGCATAATTAACTGAATCGAAGAGAGAATTACTGAATCGGACATTTCGATGTACAATGTTGAAGTTCAATTTCAATATGGCTTATACTACTGAGCATATTACGTTTTATGCTCGTAACCTCAAATACACAAAGTGGACACACGATCACTTCTTTTTCGTTAGGATATTCTGATATTAACTCACTGTCTAGAACAAAACGATGATTTTTAAATGCATATATGCATAATGCAGACAATTTTTGATCTGATTTTTTGCTTGAGATAGAGAATATTTCAGCAATTTGACGATCTTTAGATGTTGATAAAAATGTTTTATTCATGAAACGAGTACCAACGTAATAATCCTTGAGCTCATCTTCTGTAACATACATACTACGATAAGTATGGCCACTGAAGGTATAACGTTCAAGAGATGGATGAGAAGTGAGAATTTGTAAAAGTCTTCTCCGTCCATCAGTGGCAAAATCATGTCTATCACTTTCGTGTGTTGTGGATAATTGTTGATTTAACACTTTGTAATAATCTGCTTCGACCGTGTAGGCTTTGACTAAGTACGTGGGGTCTTGTTCTTTTGCTGCTTTGGAGAAAAACCACCGAATCACATCGATACTTTTGATATTTCGCAGACTATTGTCTAAATAATCGCGGCGTATCGCGTTCACATAGTAATCAATGTTCGGATTTTTCCATTCAACATTAAATTCTTTGCGTTTTTCCGCTATCTCTTTCAGAATATTCTGATCAACTTTTCTCCATTCTATATTTGCTTCACCAATAAACCTGATTCGTGTTCAGAGAAAAATATTTTTGTTTCGTTTTGTTTCGCTTATTCTTTCACAATTTAAAAATTTAAAATATAGAGTTAATATAGTTTTCACCTAGGAATGGTATCAAATTTAACATCTGTTAGTAGTGAATTTTACTTAGCATGTCGAAACAATGACTTTAATGGAGCTCATATTGCGTTGGAGACAATGACGCCCGATGAAATAAATCGTATAGAGCCAAATGGGTCAACAGCTTTACAT